ACTTTTTTAATTGGGAAAAAAAACATCGTTAAGTGAAGCAGGGGACCTAAAATCGCATTCGTTATGCGAAGCATGGTCCCAAACTTCACTAAGCGAAAATCGCGCATAGGAAACATCGTTATACGAGGCATATTATTTTCCAAAAAAACACATCGTTATGCAAATTCATCGCTAAATGAGGCAATCGTTAAGCGAGGCACCACTGTACTTGAAAAATGACATACGGCAGATCCTTCTGGGAGACGAATTTTTGAAAAATTAAAATAAAACAAACAAACCAAAAGACCCATGAAGAAGTACACCAGAAAGAACAACTTCCTGATTTTCCCATTCTCAGTCCCTCTATATAAATGTGAAGCACCATTCAACCAATGTTGAGGCATTCAAGAGAAAACTGGACAACCATCTGTCATATCTGCCTTGATTTGGATTCCTGCATTGAGCAGGAGGTTGGACTTGATGGCCTTATAGCCCCCTCCTGAGTCAATTATTCTATGATTCTACAGTACTTTGTCTTTCTGACCAATTCAGAGTGCTGAACTATCAATCTATAACACTGTTGCCAGATCCTGTAACTCTACTACAGTATCCCAAACCAATGTGTTGCTGCTGGTAAAGCCATTTACTTACTAACATAGATTCAGAACTTTCAGCACAGATTTAAGGACATATCTATTCCTAAGCAGATACAAAGTTTATTCCCTTCATATTCCACCTTAAGATGCAGAAATTACCTTGCACATCCAAATGCCATCAGCCTGTATTTGTTATTTACAGCCACACACATTCCATCAGAAACATCCTGTGCCCAAACTCCATGGAGTTTCTGCAAGATATATCGCAAAGAAACTTATCTAGGGTATTGTCACAGTGAAAAAACTGTGCAACAGTGAGTTATCCATGCATAGCGTACTATACTTAAGTTTAGCAATGATGAAAAATACCTGAGATACAGCTCACAAGTCCCTTTCTAAAACACACACATAAAAATGAAACCCTTATTCCTTGTCTACAATGGCAGTTATTTTTAAGTACATGTAAATACATACTTGAATTATACATATTGTGGTGTAAGTGAACCTCCTCTCTGTGGCAGCCCAGTCCAACAATTCACAGAAGATTAGAGTACCCATTAAACTGGATGGGCTGTGGTACAGAGGGAGTAAGGAAAATCAGGTGGAGCAGGCTCAGATTTCCACTTCTGCCAGTTTCACTGGGCATGTCCAAATCTGGATCCAAATCAAGTACAAGTGTACATTCACAAATATATCCAGTACACGTGAAATACTTCATCATCACACTGAGCTGTTACTTGGAATTTCATTACATCGTATTTCACATTACTGACTTTTTGGAGAAGAAATTGTTTCTGTTTAGGAAAAATATGATACACAAGGTAGTTTTTAATACCATCAGAAAACTGTCAACTTTATCCCCCAGAGCAATAACACTCAGAGTGACATAAATCTAAAAAATGATTCTGGCCAGTCTTAGAATTAAGAAGATGGCAGAGGAATGTTACAATCTGAATTGTATTTCAGAAAGTATTATATAGATGCAGTTTTCTTGTCTGGGAAAATATGCTATTTAATTATTTCAGTACCTTAACAGAAACAGTAGACCCACAAAAGTGTGAATAATGAAGTCTGAGGGAACTAGCTTTGTTATGGATGCTTTTCAAAAATAATTCTGCCCTCCCTAAACTGGCTTAATTGTATTAAGTTTCACAATTCCCCAAACATGGTTAGTTATTAGTCATCTATAGCAGACATAGAGATGTTCAATTATAGCTTGGAAGCTGCAAACAAACAAGTGATGAAGTGTTATCTTACCTCTGCTGTAAATCCATTTGACATTGGTGTAATAAAACCAACTCTGCCATCATTAAACACAACAGCAAACCCATCAAGAGTAGCACAGTATTCCATATCTCTTATGTGTACATCTTCAAATCCAAGGAATGAACCTAGTAATAATCAGAGTGAATAATTAAAAGCTACCACTGTCACACTGGATTTTTTAAATAATTATTATTTCCATTGGCTCAAAACGAAACAGTACAAGAAGTGGAAATAGCCACATGTACAGAAAAGGAAAACGCGCTCTTGTTAACTACAGAGCCTTGTGGCACAGTGGCCAAATTGCAGTACTGCACTCAAGATTCTGCTCACAACCTGAATTCAATCCTAATGGGCTCAGATAGACGGCTCAATATCAACACAGTCTTCCATCCTTACGAGGTCAGTAAATTGAGTATCTAGTTTGCAGTGGTGGGGAAGTAATATGTAGCTTTATATAATAATGTTGTAAACCACCACAGAGTGTTTTAAGTGCTACGGGGTGATATATAAACAGCACATAAGGACAGGAAAAGGTACGCTGTCCTTTGGACAACACAGAAATGAAACAAGGTATACCTCTAGAAGAATGCAGGTCCACAGAAAATGGTACTGTACAGAGGTTAATAGCCTTCCTTCCATTTGTCATGCCATCCCAGTGAATAAGATGAAGGAGGCCATCAGCTGTAGCAACAAGTAGGTCTTCTAGCATAGACTGTAAACTACAAGAAAGTCACATTACTCTCCAGAAACTGAGAACAGAGAGTTTAATTTACTCAACATACAAACATCACATTTTCTTTGCTCTTCATCCCTGCAACAGCCCCCCGCCCCAAATCTGATCCAGAGTGTCCTCTAACTCTCTGAATGTACTCATGGACGTGCACCCAGCATTTTTTCCTTCCTCAAATGAAGGCAGCTGTTTGTTCAATACTGCACATGTATTTATAAATTAGCAAGCACACTGACTTTTTAAAATGTTTTGCCCCTGAAGCCTGTTGCTACTGTTTTGTGTATACTCTCTGTTCTCCTAAAGATATGAAGAAAAGATACTGAAATAAATCAATGGGAAAACTGTTTCAAGTTTTAAACAATGGGGGAGACTGGTATCAACGTTTAAAACCCAATCCTTAGACATTTTCTTTTGTCTGGAAGAATTTCATTACTTTTCCTCTGTGGACAAACTTTCCTTTAGCATAACTGAGAGCAGGTAGTTTTCTCTGGCTTCTCTTTCCTTTATCATCATCATCACTTTAGAACTACATAGCTAGAAAAGACTCTATAGATGACAGAGTCCAGCCTCAGTCCTTAACACCTTATGATTAATATTACATAAAATGAAGCTATCCAGGATTCACACACAGCTTATGAAGTGCACATACAATTACAGTGCTTAAGGGATTTTTTAAAATGTACTGTGACAGTAAACAGCATTATAAAACCTATTACAGTTAAGTTACAGAATTTGAGTGCATAGCAGAAAACGTCATAATGAGCAGGTGCTCCTGTTTGTGCTCTCAGTACAGACTTAAATAAAGCTCACAAACAAGAGCATGCTTCTGGCACCAATGCTAGACTAACTGAAAATCCATGATTATTTCCAGGTGAATTAGATAGCAGATGATGGGAAAGATCTTTGACTGACATTGGGGGGTACATGGCCAACTAGTCTAACTTTGTATAAGACAGTTTCCTAAATTATTATTCAACATGACCACAAAGCCCCATATTCTTAATGTCTCAAGTATTGCACTGCATCAGATATTTCCTTACTGCTACCACGTGTACTGCATTGGCACTGAAAGCAATTATATGAATTACCATTAGCCATACCTTGTTACAGATGCTTGTAAATCCAGTATGTGCTTCTTCTCTAGATTTAATGATGGGGCACACTGTTCTTCCTTATAGTGCGGTGTTCCCTTCACATGTGGGCTTCCTCTTTAAAGAAAGAAATTCAGGATAGAAAAATATATTTAAATGCTAAAACACTGCCAAGCTACTTTAGTCTGTTCTTGAAATAAAACTGCAAATCCTAATCTGGAAAAAAAAAAACAATTCTAACTGCAGTTCCAACAGAATTCCAGAGCAGGGTTGAAGCAAGTAGTATCTCAGTCGAACTCCACTATTTCCCAGCCGCAAACTAAGACCTGCAACATGAATTATCAACCTATGGTCACTTTATAGGGCCCCTCATCTCCCAAAGGGCTATACCACATGACAACACAGCCTCTGCATAGCACTAAATTCCATGCCAAAGACGCCATGCACAGGATTGCTAGAAAGAAAGATGTACCAGTAAAGTGGGTTCAGGGACACGAAAAACACTCTTGCATTTGTAATATAATCCTATACGCATATCTTTCCAAAAAGTATCTTTGTGAAACATGACTGTTCCATTTTAAAAAAAGGTTCTGGAAAAACAATCCCTCTTCCAGTGAGGGGTCCCATAAAATTCTTACATTTATGCTAAGAAAGGTAGCATCATGTAACCAATAACAGTCATATGCCATCTTCAAGAGCTGGAATTTTTATTAAGATGCTGACAGACAAGAAAACTGTTCAGAGTATTTACTGGAAAATGGAAAAGCTCTATATTCCAGTTGTTTGATGTCCATTCTTTTCAGAATGTTCAAGGTATTTCCTTCTCCAAATACAGAATGTATTACATAGTTGGAATGTGAGTGTGTGTGTAAGAGATGTTGCTTTGTAACTAACCTATACATCTCTAAATTCACATTTTACATCTTAATACTTAATGGTGTTCTTCTTACAATATGGCAAATGAATATGTAACAGTATTCCAATTACAGCACAACTTGTTATCCACAGTTTTACTGGGAATTTTAAGGCAGAGTTTTGCACTTTGCCACTGTGATGCTAAAAATCTTATCCCAAGTGCTACAAATTACAGACAACTCTTAATTTATAAACACTGAATATCAATGACATAACTCACAGTTCTATCAAAAAATACTTGAATCAAGACAGCTTGAATGATAGTAGCTACAATAATTTAAATTATTCTATTGTGTATAGCACTGAAATTCGGCAGTGTTCAGAGTACAATTATTTCTCAAATTCTTATTCCCTTGAATTATCTTGCAGCATTTATTTGAACATATTTCAGTAGAAGAGTGTCAGTGATGAACTACAGCCACTTTTGTTCCATAGATCATTTGCCAGTTAACTGAAAGAACAAATCACTTTACATTTTACTCTAAGCACTAATTTAAGGCCAAATAACACAAGGTGAAGTTGAAAAAAAGTGCAATCATACGCTAAACAGATACTTCTTCTTCTTTGTTCTTATGTGTGCCCTTTTGGATTCTACTCCAATGAACTGAGAAGAACAATCTATCTGAAGAACTCAACAAACCTTTAAAACCCAACACTGAGACTGCCAAGAAGAAGACTTTCATAACAATCTAGGAAATCAATTTCTACATTATCTGACAGCCTTTCCAAATAATCAGCAAAAACATCCCACAAATGGATACGTCAGTTTTTATGCAATGCCAAATGCCAACCACATTTCAATGGTAACTGAGTATCAGCTGATCTTCATACGACAGGGATGCAGCTTTTGTTGCTCTTCCCATCTTAATATATACAGTGGTGCCTCGCATAGTGATCGCTCCGTTTAACGATGAAATCGCATTACGATGGACTAAAGTCCATCGCAAGAGCGATCGCTTTGCGATGGCCCCTATGGGGACAACTCCCTTTGCGATGATCGCGGGGGAGCGCTCCCCCACGATCATGGCAAAGGCCCCCCTGGTCAGCTGTTTCAAAAAAATGGGCTTTGCGCTGCTCGCGGGGAAGCACTTCCCCGGGAGCAGCCCAAAGGCTCGCTTTTTAGAACAGCTGACCGTCGGGCATTTGAGCTGCTAGCAGAGAAGCGCTTCTTCGGGAGCAGCCCAAACGCCTGCCCCTCAGCTGTTCCAAAAGGTGTGGGTTTGGGCTGCTCTGGGAGAAGGGCTTCTGCTGGTGCAACCCAATCCCCTGCCTTTTGGAACAACTGAAGGGCGGTGGTTTGAAGCTCAAATGCCCGCCCCTCAGCTGTTCCAAAAGACGGCGGTTTGGGCTGCTCCGGGAGAAGGGCTTCTGCCGGTGCAGCCCAAGCCCCTGCCTTCTGGAACAGCTAAGGGGCGGTGGTTTGAAGCCCAGACACCCGCCCCTCAGCTGTTCCAGGGAGTCCCAGCATGGCTGGGATAGGCGGGCGTTAATACATTTAAAGTAAAAGAAGTATTTAGGATTAAGGTATCACTGCTGCAAAAATTGTATTACACATCTTTATAAGGCCAATTTCTTTCTATGGTAGTTATGCACATGAAGAAAATCCGACCCCCCCACCCTCCCTGCCCCAGCTGCTGCTTGGAGCTGCCCTGCGCCCGGTTTCCCAACCATGCTCGGACTCCTGGAGTCAGGGAATCAGCTGTTCGGTGGTTCCAAAATGGCCGCCGGACACCTGAAATGGCCCCGCGCAGCGTTTTCGCGCCCTGCCCTCGCTTACCGAGGGCGCGAAAATGGCTGCCGCTATGGGGAAACATCGCAGAACGGTGAGTTTTGTGCCCATTAGGAACGCATTAAACGAAGTTTAATGTTCCAATGGGTTTCCCCGTTCCGTATAGCGATGTTTCCCCATAACGAAGGTTAATCCGGAACGGATTAACCTCGCTATGCGGGGCACCACTGTATACGAGTATACAGTATATTCATTTGCCAGTTAACTGAAGGAATGAATCAGTTTACACTTGACTCTAAGCACTAATTTAGGGGCAAATGACACAAGGCAAATTTGAAAAAGAGTGCAATCATACACTAAACAGATACCTCTCCTTCTTATGTTTGACCACTCCCATGTGCGCCCTTTCAGCAAAGTTTGGAAAACACTGGAAGGACTTTCTAGGTAGAAAGCCTCTTCTAACATCCCCCACCCCTAAGCAGCACCTTCTCTGAACATAATTTCTTCTGAGGGTGACAAGAAGGGCGCAAGAAAGAAAGCAGTGGCCGCTCCTATCTTGTCTCTTTTTCACTCTTCCTGGTCATGATGTCAGGGAAATCTGGGCCCAGAAAGGTGCCTAGAGAAAGCATGGCAGCCACCTCTGCTGCCGAAAGCTCCATCAACAGAACAACACAAAGAGTTGGAAAGCCTGGGCTCAACTAGCTAATCCACAAAGCAAGCAAGTGACCTAAAAAGTACCAAGAAGACCTAAAACTATTAAATTCAGAACACCAGCAACTTACGCCTTCTCTCTACTGAGTCCCATAGAAGTACAGACATCCTTTGTTGCCCTGCTCTTAACCCATCCCTATCCCTCCAGCCAAAGAACCCATTCCATCTTCTTTATAAGATGTTCCAAACTTTTGGAAACATTCTTCAGTTAAAACACGGAAGTTGCCCCACAACTAATAGCAATGTCTGATGCTCTGCTCTAGCCCCTGCCCCAAAGCAGGCCTTTTCTCTGAATGCTCTGAGTAGGAGGGAAGCATGCCTGGATTCAGCATGCGGCAATGGCAGCTCCAGGGTACATGGACAGGAAAGAGAATCCCTCCCTCAGTCTTCCCCGTTCCCTGGAAGTAATGAGCAAGAGAAAGCATATAGCATATTAGAAAGTGATCACAATTCAAAATACTCACATGCAGCACACATCCCTATCAGTTGGTTCCTGTATTTCAATTGCTTTGACCTTTAAAACTCTAACTGTATGTTGATGATGGAAGCAGGAAGCGGCCCTTTATCTGTGTTGCCACATCAGCAGCTGCCACACTTCTGTCCAAATTCTAAGTTATTGCAGCCATTCCTCAAAGGTGTCCTAACCTGTGTGTGTCTGTTTGTGTGTGTGCGTGTGTGAAGTCCTGTTCATAAAAAACAAGCCTACAGCATGCTAAAATGTCTGTACTGTTTATACGAACAAGGTTCCACATATGTATCGTTGTAGTCCTGCAGATCTTTTCTGAATAAAATATATTTTTAAATCCTGACTATTCCTATTATGCATATGTTTACACATACTGGACCCAACTGTTCCTACCTAAAATGAGCTTTAGATCAAATGGACATCTACGTCCTGGCTGCTTACATATTTTTAAGCCTTTAAAACTAGTTTCTGATGGTATTTTTACTTGGCTTCATTTAGTGAACTTTAATAGGTTTTCCACCACCACACTAAAACTTGTGCTGAAGACTGAACTGTGCTCTTTATGCACACACTTGGGAACAACATCCCAGAATATGAGCTTGAGGCCAACGCTGGCAACATGCCAAGTTCCACTGTGAAATGGAAGACAGACTGAGCAGCTGGAGCAGTGCCACCTATCATCCTGGCTCCACTGAAATGCCAATTGCCATTTATTTTTGGATTCTACTCCAATGAATTGAGCAGAACAATCTATCTGAAGACGTCAACAAACCTTTAAAGCCCAACACTGAGACTGCCAGCAAGAAGCCTTTCATAACAATCTAGCAAATCAATTTCTACATTGTCTGAGGGCCTTTCGAAACAATCATCAAATGCATCCCACAAACGGATATGTTTGTTTTTGTACAATATCTCTGCATTTCAATGATAACCGAGTATCAGCTCATCTTCATACAACAGACAGGGATGCAGCTTTTGCTGCTCTTCCCGTCTTAAAAAATAGAATATATTTTCTGTTTGTGTGTATGTGTAAAAGTACACTTCAGAGGAGGAAACAAGGAAATGAGCAGCTTAAGGTATAATCACTGTTAGCAAACGACTGAGCAATATATTCTCCAAATGGCAGCAGACAGAAAAATGAAAAGGAAGTATCTTAGTGCAGTGGTTCCCAAATGTTTTGGGCCATGAGCCACTATGACACACACTTTGGGAACCTGTCTTACGTCTACTACATTTCCATGTTACTCTTGTACTGTGAAACACTGGGCCCCTCCTTTCAAATTAAAATACTTTGAACATGAATGCAACAATAGACTAATATGATGTAGTACTCTTCAATAATCTAATTGGAACTCAAAGGTAGAGACAGCCATAATGGCACAAAACAAATTCCAAAATCTGTACTAGGATAACAACTTCATTAGGCTAATCAACTGTCCAAGATGCAGGCTCAGAGTTTTCTGCATTTCTAGATCTTAGTCTATGGGCTAGTCCAGGTAAAATCTAAAATCATTTAGCATTCTTCCTACGTTAATTCCTAAAACACAAAGACAACAAGGATTGAAGATCTAGCTTAAACCAGCTTAATACATTGCCCTTTGCTGTGTGAAGCTTAGCATCCTTTTTCCTTCTGGCAATCTGGCATGATACTGTGTAGCGTACTCACTCCATTTCTTGGTCTCTCTCTATATATATAGACCAGTGGTTCTGTGGTGGCAGAGCAGCAAGAGGTGTGGAATGGAGCAGGAAGCAAAGAAACACAAAGGA